CTCGCTCAGCCAGTGAGCGGGAACCGGTCTGCATGTGGGATCCGAACCCTCGGGCGGGAGCGCCGCCGTGCTTCCGAAGCTGCGCACTATCCAGTGTGCCACCGGGCCGGCCCCATCTTTCTAATAAATCTTATTTTTACTTAAGCTAGCTTGAGTGCTTTCTGTTTGCTGAAACCAAACAATCCCAAAATAATTCAATGCCTTTTTCTAGAGGAAGATGACCATTGCACATCTCCTCCTCTCAGCTAATGACCACACACATCTTTAACAGAAATCAGAAGCCAACAAAGAGAATCTCCCAGATTCCCACCACCAATACTACATGATAACTTCCACCCACCTTCCCTCCTGTTACAACGGCAGAAACATCTCTCCTTGCAAAAGCGAAACCCTCCATTTTGTTCGGGATCTCCTCCCCCTTCTTATTCTTGCAGTTATTTCCACTATCTCTGGCATCTTCAGTTTCTCTCTTTCTACTGGATTATTCTCTTCAGCATACAAGTACATTCCAGTTACCATCTCCAATCTTCAAACAAAACTTCCCTGGACCCTCATATCCCTCCAGTTATCAAACCATTTCTCAGCTCCTTTCACAGCTAAACTTCTTCAGCAAGCTGTCTCCACTCAGTGCCTACACTGCATCACCTCCAATTCATTCTTCAAACCACTCCAATCTGCTTTCATCCCTACCACTGCACTCAGATCCCTAGCCAAGGTCACCAACATCTCCGTGTTCCCAAAACTAACAACCACTTCTTTGTCCTCATTTTTATTTTATTTTATTTTTTTTAGAAGATGATGGGTAAAGAGATCTTAACCCTTGACTTGGTGTTGTCAGCACCACACTCTCCGAAGTAAGCTAACCAGCCATCCCTATATAGGGATCTGAACCCGTGGCCTTGGTGTTATCAGCACCCCACTCTCCCAAGTGAGCCATGGGCCAGACCCTTGGTCCTCATCTAATACAACTTTTTAGTTGTATCTGACATTACCAACTACCACCTCCTTCTTAAAATATTCTCTCCTGCTGGCTTTTGTGAAGCCACATTTTCCTCCCACCTTACTGACTCCACTTCCTCTACCAGACCTGTGAAGATTAAATGACTTCAAGGCTTGGCCTTGCGTCCTTTTCTCTAACCACACTCCCTCCCAACATGATCTCACGCAGCTACTGACTCCACTTCCTCTACCAGACCTGTGAAGATTAAATGACTTCAAGGCTTGGCCTTGCATCCTTTTCTCTAACCACACTCCCTCCCAACATGATCTCACGCAGTGCTGTAGCTTTGTGTATTATATATATGCTGCTGACACCCAAATTTCTATCTCCAGGCCAGACCTCATCTCTGAATTCCAGACTATTATATCCACTTGCCTCTTAGATATCTATCAGACATCTCAAACTTAGTAAGTGTAAAGAGAACTGCCTAAATCTAAAACAACTGTCTTCCTCCTTGGGAAATGATATCACGCACTCAACGGTTCAAATCAGAAACCTAAGAGTTACCCTTGATTCCTCACTTACCTATACCCTATTGTTTCAATCCTCCACAAAATGCTCTTAATTCTATTTGCAAAATATATATTCATTCATCGGTATCTGCGGGCAATTGGTTCCAGGACTGCTGGTAGATACCAAATCCAGGGATGCTCAAGTTCTTTATTTAAAATGGCGTAGTATTTGCACATAACCTGTGCACATCCTCCCATATACTTTATTTATTTAATTATTTTGGTGGCTTGCTGGTAAGGGGATCCTAACCCTTGACCTTGGTGTTATCAGCTACCATATACTTTAAATCATCTCTAGATTACTTATAACATCTCATACAATGCAAATGCTATGTTAATAGTTGTTAAAATGTATTTTTTTATTGTAATATTTTTATTTTTTATTGTTTTTTTTCTCAAGTATTTTCAACACAAGGTTGGTTGAATCCACAGATGAGGAACCTGCAGATATGAGACCTGCAGATATGGCGGACTAGCTGTACTGAATCTGTCTGCTTCTCTACATCTCCACAATGACCACCCTAGTCTAAGCCACCTGGACAACTGCAACAGCTCTACTGCTGGTCCCTGCTTCTACTCTTGATCCCCTAGAGTCCATTTTTAAGCTAAGAGCCTGAGATACCTTTAAAAACATAGATCTGAGGGCCTGGCCTGTGGCTCACTTGGGAGACTGTGATGCTGATAACACCAAGGCCATGGGTTTGGATCCCTATATAGGGTTCGCCGGTTAGTTCACTTGGGAGAGTGTGGTGCTGACAACACCAAGTCAAGGGTTAAGATGCCCTTAGCAGTCATCTTTTAAAAAAATAAAATAAAATAAAAACATAGATCAGATGTCAATCCCCTCTTCTGTTTAAAACTCTCTAGTGGCATTCCACTGTTGACAGAATAAAATCTAAACTTCTCATGTCCTACTAGCCCAAACCCACTTCTTTCCTTCACTCATTATTCTCACTGACATCTTTGCTCTTCTGGAACATACCAAACTCTTTCTCACCTATGGGCTATTTATTGGCCTTGATGTTCCCTCATCTTGGAAGGCCTTTCCCCCGCTTGATGAGCATATTACCAGTCTTCCAGCTCAAAAATCCCCTCCTCAGAGACATCACTCCTGACCACCCTACGTAAAGCAATATCTCCAAATTATTCCTTCGCATCAGCCTGTTTGCAGTCCTTACCACATTCTTTAATATGGTTACCATTTTGTTTATTGCTTGCTTATCTTTCTCACAAAAAAAAAAAAGGTAAGGAGAACAGGGATTTGTCTTATTCTCTGCTATAACCCTGGTGTCTTGCATAAAATAAGTGTTCAACAGACACCTGAATGAACAAATTAAAAGAATTAAAAAAAAAACCACACCCAGGCTGCTCACTTATAGTGATCAGCAGTATAGCAGGTTCCCTACAGCAGGACTAAGAATGAAAGGGACGGAAAGGAAGGCTGGTGAAGGAAGAGTCCACCCACTTATAAATCTTATATCAAAGACCAAGAAAGGATATTGTCACACACATCACCATGCATGGATGTCACCAAACAACACTCAGCCTCAATGCTGTTCACCATGAAACCAGAGGACCAGAATGTAATCATTAATTTTTCGGCTTCTGTGATGATCAGCCAGCACTCACTGCCACCCTGCCCTTATTGTCCCTGAAGGAGGGGGAGGCTCTGCTCAGGACTTACCAGCCATCACAGAGTAGTTGAAGTGTTCTGCTGCTGGATCTAGGTTCACAACTTGGACAGACCGGTTGAGGGCTTCACAGTGCTGGACCATGGTGGCACAGTAGGTGCTCTGTAATGTCACAAGGCATGAGAAGTTAGAGCAGCAAGCAGTGTAGTGCTACGCTCTGCACCCTGAGAAGGATCTCCATACTCTTTGAGCAGTGTCCACTAAGGCCAAAACTATGCCTTCACCAACCAAGAGACTGACTGAAAACAAGGGAAAAGGCACTGGGCCAGGAGTCAGGACACCTGACTGAGTTGCAGATCCAGACCTTGCTAGGACTCATGGGGAACTTTGGGGAAATGGCTTCTCCACTCTTCCCGTCAATTTTCTCATCTCTAATTGAGATGTCCTCCATGATCACTAAGGCTCCTTCCTGCTCTAATGTGTAACAAGTGGAATTTAAAGAGAAGATTTCTGGTTTCTCAGTGCAGCACCTAGCATAGAACGTCTCTACTAGGATTTGTACAGTCCAAACAAAGCTTTAGATGGGAAGGTCAGGGATGATGTCTTTGAGCAGGGAGTATTTGAGCACATGGAAATGTGCTTGCTAACCTAAGGGAAAAGCATTTCTTTTTTTTTTTTTCCTTTTTGTCTTTTTTCGTGTCCGGCAACGGATCGCAATCCTCAGTGTCGCGCCCGTACCGGACCAGACCGGCAATGGGATCGCAACCCTCGGTGTTGCGCCCGCACTTCGCTCAGCCAGTGAGCGGGAACCGGTCTGTATGTGGGATCCGAACCCTCGGCGGGAGCACTGCCGCGCTCCCAAACGGTGCACTGTAGCAGTGCGCCACCGGGCCGGCCCAGGGAAAAGCATTTCAAGATGAAAGAACATCAAGGTCAATAAATAGTCTGAGGGCTGGCCCGTGGCTCACTTGGGAGAGTGTGGTGCTCAAAACACCAAGGCCGCGGGTTCAGATCCCTGTATAGGGATGGCCGGTTGGCTCACTTGGAGAGCGTGGTGCTGACAACACCAAGTCAAGGGTTAGGATCCCCTTACTGGTCATCTTTAAAAAAAGTTAAAAATTAAAAAATAAATAAATAGTCTGGAGGTGGGCTATCAGTTTGCAACTTTTGGTAGAGAATCCTTTATCCCGCATGTAGTTGTTACCACACTATGTTAAAATCTCTAGGCTACTTGATTGTCTCTTTCACCCTCTGTATAAAGGCAGAGATGTATCTTATTCAGTTTTATAAGCCCAGGAACTAGCACAGTACCTGGTACATAATAAATGCTTGATAATTATTTCTAATTGACTGACATATTATGCTTGAATGTAAGTTCCACGAGTGTTTTTGTTCACCACACAACCCCCAGGACCCAAAACAATGCTTGGCATAAGAAACATGCTCAATGAGTGTTTTTCACAGTAGGCATAAAAAATTTATAGAGATACTTATCTAACACAATCAGTCCAAAAATTAACCCAGAATATAGAAATAACTTCCATCATGCTTTCCCTTCAGTGTCTTTACACATACTGTTCTCACTCCAAGGGTGTCCTATCTATGCATCACACTGTACAAGTATCTTTTTTTTTTTTCCTTTTTGTCTTTTTTACTGACCGGTAACGGGATCGCAACCCTCGGTGTCGCACAGCCAGCGAGCGGGAACCAGTCTCCACATGGGATCCGAACCCTCGAGCGGGAACCAGTCTCCACATGGGATCCGAACCCTCGGCGGCAGCGCTGCTGCGCTCCCAAGCGGCGCACTCTCCAGTGCACCACCGGGCCGGCCCCTGTACAAGTATCTTAATTAATAAGTCATCTATCTGTCTTCCCTAATAGACTACAGGCTCTGAGTTCGTACGGGTCAAACCTTAGTAACATGTATATCTCCTGTACCTAGAATAGTTTAATGGCTCTGAACAACGTGTTTGTTAAATTATAGATTGTAGCCACAAAACACCTCTACATTTTTGTTATTTAATCAATATCTTCATTTCTACTGTATTTGAGTGCTCCTAACATTATTCCCTTAATATCTGTTTACAAGAAAATATTGTATCCCTATTGTAAACAAAAAACCAGTTATACTCATATTTTTCATAGTGTGCTGGTAATCATAAAAGTATATACAACTTAAAAATGCTTTTAATTTTAGCTAAATAGTTGCTTATTAAAAACTGAGTCTAAGATCTGCTCTCTGAAAAGACTTGGGGATTAATGAAGCGTTGAAGATACATGAGCACAAACGTAATTTTACCTCAATGCGTAGTTAAGGACTGAAAGAGAACTGAAAAGGGAATAACTTTCTCAATATATGATCTGATGTTCCTTAGTGTTGCGTCCATGTACCACCTAAAATCACCCCAGATATCAGAAGTTCATGTCTCAAGCTCTGAGAAACAGTAATTAACGACACCCCACTTTAACCTCCTGGGAGCAAGACATGGCCAGATTCTGGAGTTAGACAAAACTGGATTCAAACTCCGGCCGTAACTTACTAACTCTACGATCCTGGGCAAAGAACTTAACCTTTCTGTCGCTGTCTCTCTCTTTTTAAATCTGTAAAATGGGAATAACAGGACCTATATCACATGGTTGTTGTGGAAATAACTGAGGCATTTAGCTCAGTACCCGGAGGCATAAGAATCCAATAAGTATTAACAATTATCATTACTCCCCTTTCAAAACAACAACCAAAAGGACAGTGAAGCCCGGAGAGCAGAGCGAGTTCTCAGGGTCCCTGATACACGCACCCGCCAGCGTCTCCCTCCGGACCCGAGGCCCCTGCCTCCTATGAACTCCGACTCTCTCTTTCTCCCACCAAGTCCTCACCTTCCCGCTGCCCGCAGGGCCCATGACCAGCTGCGCATATCGAGGCATGTCTGCACTCCGGATTCCCGGTGCCGCCTGCCACACTCCCTTCAGCCTTCGCGCGACGCCCACTGCCTTCCCGGAACACAAAGTGCGAACCAATCGCAATCCAAAATTCCTTTTACGTCTCTTGTTCTGCCGCACCTCTGACTACGGAGCATCCTGCGGGCCAAATCCCGTGAGAAACGCGTCTTGAAAAAATCGGAAGAGGAGGAACGGGTTTGCGCGTGCGTAGAAATAGTTGGCGGAAATCAGCTGTTGAGATACAGACAAAGTCCGGTTGCCTGGGTGATAACGGATAACGGATAAGGGTCTACATCCCTGAGCCGGGTGCATTGGTTCTTGGTTTGAGTACCGACGTTTGACCTATATGGTGACAACGAAGATTTGCAAATTTGCCAATTTGCCGAGGGTGTGGAATGCTGAGGTGGAAGTCACCTCCTGTTTTAGACATATTTATTTCCTTTCCGTGAAGCATCCCTTCCACCAAAAGATGCAAACGTGCAAACGCGCGATCAACTAAAGAACTCCCGTCCCTCCCCCAACTTAATTCCAGGGTCGTAGATCTGCCCTCGCCCTCCCGAAGCTATTCGGGCAGTGTCCGGACAGCATCGGAGGGGCTAGAATCTGGCGTCGTCCGCCTCTTCATCCCAATATCTCCTTGCCTGACGCACGCGTGCTGACGGGGGAGGGGAAAGAGAAAGCTTTTCCCCCACACAGCTTGCGGTCCGGACACCGGGGAGATGCCTGGCCGGGGTCCGGGGTCCGACTGGACTGAGTGCAGCTCTTCCTCAGAGCCGCCCGCAGCGGCCGGAACCGAGGGTGCCGGCGGAGGGTGAGGCTGCGGGCCCTGGGGATTTAGTGAGGACGGCGACCCAGGAGGGTGGATGGTGGGGGGCTGGCTGCTCTACTTTGAACTGCTCCCCAGTGCAATGAAGTGAGGGGAGAGGAGAACCTTTGTTGTGGGGCCAGGATGGGAAATATGGAGGCTGGCTCACTATTTAGGGGAAGGGCCTCTGAGGGAAGCTTGGGAGGAGGGTTTGGTGCAATGACTAAACGCGGTCACTGCGACAGTCGCCTGCGTGCGTCTTTCTGCCCCGAGGGGGCGCTGCCAAACCTGCTGGGAAAATTGCAGTCTGGCTGCAGCATCTTTACGTAAAAGCGAGGACATCGGGGAACAGAGTAGCGAGAAAACGTCCCCAGCTCAATGGAGGGTTTCCAAGTCAAATCAGTTTTTCCTGTGTGACATTAGCTACGTTTCTGTCAAATGGGGGTTTCTAATTGCCAGTGAGACAGATGACTATGAATATTAGAGGCACCTTAATCTTGACATTTTCTTCACACTAAAGTTCCTTTCGTCATAAATCTTCATTTTGAGCAGGTTTTTACCACTGTTTCCTGAGTGGTGAAGACGATTAGCTGCTGAAGTCACTGCTGGAGGCAATTCCTCCTCATCCCTTCCCTCCCGTAGTCCCTAAAAGTGAAAGCTGCGGGACTTTTGTCCAATTCAGCCCACAGTCATGGTTCACACTAAAGTTCCTTTCGTCATAAATCTTCATTTTGAGCAGGTTTTTACCACTGTTTCCTGAGTGGTGAAGACGATTAGCTGCTGAAGTCACTGCTGGAGGCAATTCCTCCTCATCCCTTCCCTCCCGTAGTCCCTAAAAGTGAAAGCTGCGGGACTTTTGTCCAATTCAGCCCACAGTCATGGTTCCTGCTGCACTCATGGCTTTTTTTTTTTTTTTTTTTTGGACCGGTAAGGGGACCGCAACCCTTGGCTTGGTGTTGTCCGCACCACGTTTAGCCAGTGAGCGCATCGGCCATCCCTGTATAGGATCCGAACCCGCGGCCTCAGCGCTACCAGCGCTGCACTCTACTGAGTGAGCCACGGGGCTGGCCCATGGCCGTCTTTTTCATATCTAGTGACATTGAAGACTTTTTAAAAGATGCAATGTAATCTTTGTTTTCTGTTCTTCACAGTCCTTGTTGGAGTGCTGGATCCTAGTCTATCAGGAGATCAGTGATCTCTCTTGGTCACTGAATAAATTGTAGGAAGCGGGAAGGAAGGATGTTTTGTCTTAATTTGAGAAAAGAAAAAAAAAAAAAAAGACTTGTACAAAATTAGAAACATTACAGACCAACTTATCAGTTCCAGCACACTTTAGTTACTATTCAAAGGATAGTTTTTTTCAATGCTCAAATTACTTTATTAAAAATAAAGTCAGCAAGAAAATATTGTGGATAGATAGCACAGAAGCCCAAACTACTTTACTGAGCTCACTATAGGAATTAGATTAGGGAACTATAAGAACAAGACCGTATCTGACTTAAAATAAGTCCTTTTTAGTATGGTTAAAATTCTCAGATAGGTCACTTTGAAAAAGTTTGGCGCTTTTAGGATTTAACCAAAATTACAGGAGAAAATTTGTAAGACATGTCTGATGGAAACATGAAAAGTAAAACGCATATTCAATACTATGCTTTTAAAATTTGGAATACACTATTTAGTACTTATAAAGCTGACAAGTAATTTCATATTATTTATATCTTTTTAAAAAACAGATCCGCTGGACATTCTTATGACAAGAATTCCAAAAGTACTGGTGAGTGCATATAAAGCAGATAATACCTATAAATAACATAGTTCAGAGAAGCCAATTTGCCTATGACTACTTACACAATAGAGTTTTAAAAATAGATTTTATTAGCATCCCTGGTGAACTTAGTCTTTAAGGTTTTCAAAGAACAATCTAGCACCTTCTTTCTCTCTGTTAGTATACCTCACACCGAGCATTTTTAAACTTAGCAATGAATCCTAAAAGAACTATGTTTATAACTGATGTTGGTTGAAAAAGCACACAGCACAGTCTGGAGTTTACACGGATTGAAGGAAAAAATTCTAAATTGAACAGCTTCAGAGAACAAAATATTTTTCAGTGCTGATTTTTTCTCTCCTTTGAAATAAAAGATAGAGCTTTCAAAGTACTCACCTCTTCTCTGCTGGAGTTAAGAGAGTAAGACAAGCCCCCAAAGGCCTCTTACCAATTGCTTTTTTGTAAGACAAGCCCCCAAAGGCCTCTTACCAATTGCTTTTTTGGGGAGAGGGGAGGTAGAGTTTACTGAATATATGTATATGTGTGTATATATATATATATATATATATATAGTATTTATTATATATATACTTTTTAAGTATAGTAGTTTTAGGGGAGAGGGGAGGTAGAGTTTACTGAATATATGTATATGTGTGTATATATATATATATATAGTATTTATTATATATATACTTTTTAAGTATAGTAGTTTTAAAATGTTTCATTTAACTTCAGTGATATATAAATTTGTATTCACTTTTTGCTTTTCTTTGGAAAATGTAAAATCCTTACAGTTGCCTAGGAAAAAATACATACACATATGTGTGCATATATACATAAATATGTACATGTATATATGTAAATAAATAACATGGTCATTTAAATAATGTGTTGGGGGCTGGCTGGTTAGCTCAGCTGGTTACAGCCCAGCCTTGTAACACCAAGGTCACGGGTTTGGTTCCCATACCGGCCAGCCACCAAAAAAAATAAATAAAAAATAAAATAAATAAATAAATAAAAAATGTGTTGCTTTGTGTGTTCAATAATTTAGATTCCTTACCGAAATTCTTAGTGAATTATTTAAATGTTAAAAAGAAACAAAACAAAAACAGAAAACAAATTAATACAATTAATACATCCCAGATGTGGAGGGTAAGAATAAAGGGAGAAATTTTAATAATTATCAGTATATGAGGTAGATTAATTCAATTATATATATATAAAAAATTTTATTAGGGCCGGCCTGTGGCTCACTTGGGAAAGTGTGGTGCTGATAACACCAAGGCCATGGGGTCAGATCCCATATAGGGATGGCTGGTTCGCTCACTTTGGAGAGTGTGGTGCTGACAGCACCAAGTCAAGGGTTAAGATCTGCTTACCTGTCATCTAAAAAAAAAAAAAATGTTTTAAAATAATTACTAGTAGATGGTGGGATTAAAGAGTTTTTTTCTTTTTTTACACTTAATGTACTTCACAAGTCTACAATGAACAATGTGTATTGCTGTTTATAATTGGAGGGAAAAAGGGCTAGTTTTCACGTGCTTTATTGTTTTCTTCTGTATCTGGACTTAAGTTCTCATCCTATTATTTAATATAAACACTATAGCTAACTCCTGGCAGAGAATCTAAATATTATTTTAAATTTGATTTACCACAACTAAAATTTGGCAGCCTTCAAGACAGTGAGTAAAACCCATTTTTTGACAACTCATTTACTAATACTTTACTATTCACCCCAACAATAAACTACATCTCTATAACAATGTAGGACAGTTTATCAAAATTAGCAACTTAAGCTTTTTTTTTTTTCTAATTTTGACTTACAGACTTATGGAAAAGTTTGAGAATAGTACATAGAATTCCAGAATCCCTTTATTCAGATTCTCCCGAATGTTGACTCTATTCTCTATCTTACTGTTTAAGAGTAAGTTGCAGACATGATGCCCCTCTATCCCTAAATACTTCCGAGTCTGTATTTCCTTTTTTTTTTTCCTTTTTTTGTCTTTTTTCGTGTCCGGCAACGGATCGCAACCCTCAGTGTCGCGCCCGCACCGGACCGTGACCGGCAACGGGATCGCAACCCTCGGCGCTGCGTCTGCACCTCGCTCAGCCAGTGAGCGGGAACCAGTCTGTATGTGGGATCCGAACCCTTGGCGGGAGCGCCGCCGCGCTCCCAAGCAGCGCACTGTAGCAGCGCGCCACCGGGCCGGCCTGTATTTCCTTTTTTTAAAAAAGAAATTGTTAACTACATTTGCATATCTCAGAAAATAATTATCAAAATCGAGAAATTTGAACGAATACTATAATCTATAAACTTTATAGAGATTTAATCTGTTTTTCCAATAATGTCTTTTATAGTAAAAAAAAAAAAATCCAAGTTTATGCATGGCATTCAGTTGTCATGTTTCTTAGCTTTCTTATTTGGAACAGTTCCTGACTCTTTGTATTTCGTAATGTAGACATTTTTGAAGAATATAAGCCAGTTCTTTTGTAGAATTTCCCTCAGTGTGGGTTTGTTTGATGTTTCCTCCTGATGAGATTCAGGTTATGCAGTTCTAGCAGGAATACCACAGAAATGGTGCTGAGTTCATCTTGGTTCATCATATCAGGAGACCTCTGCTATGGATTAGTTCCTTACTGACAATGTTAATTTCAATCATTTGGTTCAGGTGATGTCTGCCAGCTTTCACCACTGTAAAGTTACTATTTTACCCTTTGTAAAGGTATGTTGTGGGAATATACTTGAGACTATATATATCTCCTGTTAATCTTCAAACTTTCACTCATTAGTTTAGTCATCCATTCTTGACTAAATCCATTTATTATTATTATTATATAAGTCTATGTATTATGATGTCTAGAAATAGGAGATATTTCTAATTCCATCAGTCATTCTATATTTGTGAGTTGGATTTCTATGATAAGGAAGGTCTTTTCTTTCTCTACCAATTATTTATTTATTTATTTTATAAGTCTATGTATTATGATGTCTAGAAATAGGAGATATTTCTAATTCCATCAGTCATTCTACATTTGTGAGTTGGATTTCTATGATAAGGAAGGTCTTTTCTTTCTCTACCAATTATTTATTTATTTATTTAATCAGTGCGATGCAGAGGTTCTTACTTTATTCAGTAGGTTAGGTTCTTTTTTTTTTTTTTTCTTTTTGGCAGCCGGCCAGTACAGGGATTGAACCCTAGAATTTGGTGTATCAGCACCATGCTCTAACCAACTGAGCTAACCAGCCAGCCTAATACGTTAAATTCTTTACTTTAAATCCGTTATTTATTTTGATGCTCAGAAGGAACTGACTTCTCCCTATAATTTGAATAAACCAGGAAGATCCCACAACTTACAGATAATAGCCGAGGCAAGCTGATTTGGTCTTCTGACCTACAGAATTATGAGATAATAAGTGGGAGTTGTTTTAAGCCACTAAAGTTGTATTAATTTGTTATGGCAGCAATAGAAAACTAATACAGAGCCCTGTTTGTTTTTTTTAGCAAAGAAGAGTACTCAGAAAGCAAGATCTGGGTGCTAGGTGTGCTTATTGATAATGGATTATTATTGCTTCTAGGCTTTCTCCAAGGACAGAACTGGGAAAGAAATGTGTGTATGTTTACATGTGAGCACATACATACATACCCACACATATCTTTATCTGTTTCTATATTTCTACCCACACATATCTTTATCTGTTTCTATATTTCTACTTACTATGTGTATTAAAACCCAGTAAGTTCACACTGACAATTTCAATTTCAATCCAGCAAACAGGAAAACATTCTATGCTTTCCACTTTCTATATTAATAGATAACTCTTTTCTCCCATAGTGTAAAAACAGATATATTTACTTATTTGTTTAGTCCTAGCATGTATAAAAAGTAGTTTCAGAAGAATTAACCCATGCCTCTGCAAAAAAAATGTCTAGTATTTGGAGATCAATACTCATAATTACTTGGAGTTATTTTCGTTTCAATGCATAAAGTCCAAGCACTGTATTCAAAAATTATTGGATTAGTTAACTGTTTGTTTATTTGTGGTAAAATATATGTAACATAAAATTTACCATTTTAACCAGTTTTAAGTGTACAGTTCACTGGCATTTAGTACGTTCACATTGTTGTGCAATTACCACCACCATCCATGTCCATAACTTTTTCATCTTCCCAAGCTAAAACTCTGTACCCATTAAACAATAACTACCCATTCCTCCTTCCCCACAGCCTCTAGCAATCACCATTCTGCTTTCTGTCTCTATGAATTGGACTCTCCTAGGTATTTCATATAAGTTAAATCATGTACTATTTGTCCTTTTATGACTGGTGTATTTCATTTAGCATATCTTCAGGATACATCCATATTGTACCATGTGTCAGAATTTCCTTCCTTTTTAAGGTTGAATAATATTTCATTGTACATAAAACCCCTTTTGTTTATCCATTTATCCATAGATGTACATTTGGGTTTCTTCCACCTTTTGGCTATTGTGAATAATGCCGCTATGAGACGGGTGTACAAATATCTGTTTGAGTCCCTGCTTTCAATTTTTTTGGAACTGCTGGATCAGAAGTGGAATTGCTAAATCATATAACAATTCTGTGTTTAAGTGTTTGAGGCACTTCCATACTATTTTCCATTGTGGCGGCACCGTTTTACATTCCCACCAGCAATACACAGAGTTCCAATTTCTCTGCATCCTAGCCAACACTTGTTTTCTGGTTTTTTTTTTGAAGATAGCTATCCTACTGGGTGTGAAATTGTACCTCATTGTTTTTGATTTTGCATTTCCCTAATAATTGGTGATGTTGAGCTTTTATTTATTTATTTATTTATTTATTTATTTGTGGCTGGTCACTGTAGAGATCTGAACCCTTGACCTTGGTGTTATTGGCACCACCTCTAACCAAGTGGGCTAACTAGACAGCCTGAGCATCTCTTTATCTTTTTATATGCTTTTTGACCATTTGTATATCTTCTTTGGAGACTTGTCTATTCAAGTCCTTTG